ATGCTAAGTCCGCTCAATACAAAGAAAGTCCAAAGTATGTCCCGGCCTTCAAGGAGCTCATATAATGGAGGGGACAACGTGCTGACAACTATACGTCTAGAAGATTAATATATGGCGTGAATGGAGGATTATCTCAGAGGCAAAGCCCTAGCAGTGGAGAAAGGAAGGGAATCTCACATGCGCCCCCTTGTCTCCTCTGACATTGCCACCACCCTGGTGCATCACCTCAAGTCAGAGCTATTGCGGTAGCCTGCTGGTGTCTCTCCTCGTCACAGGTCTCTCCCCACTCCAGTCTGTCCTCCACTTATCTGTCAAAGTGAGGTCTGGCCATATTATCTCCCTACTCAGTAAGCTCCAGTGGCTCTGTCACCTCTAGGATGAAATTTTAAATTCTGTTTGTTCTTTGTTCTCAAAGTTCTTCATAGCCAGCTCCTTCTCCCCCCTCACCACCCCCTCTATTTTTTCTGTCTTCCTATACCTTACACACACAGTCCCACCTCCCTCCCCCAACCCAGTGACACCCGTTTTCTTGTTGTTCCTCAAACAAAACACCCCATCTTGCAATTCTGGGCATTTTCACTCTGTGTCCCCCGTGCCTGAAATGCTCTCTTTCCTCATTTCCACCTCCTGGCTTCCTGGCTTCTTTCATGTCCCAGCTAAAATCCCACCTCTCATAGGAAGCCTTTCCCAATCTCATTTAATTCTAATGCCTTCCCTCGGTGGATTATTTCCAGTTTATCCTCTGTATAACTTGTTTGTACGTAGCTGTTTGCATGTTTTCTCCCTCATTTGACTGGGAAAGCAGGGACCTAATTTTTGCCTTTCTTTGCATCCTCTGTGCTTCACATAGTGCCTGGCACATAGTAGGTGCTTGTTTTTTATAGCATTTTTTCCCCAGTTACATGAGTAGATGCTTATTAAATGTTTATTGAATGAACTGAGTCTTGAGGGAAGCCGTGGAAGCCAGGAAGCTAAGGGGGAGCCGGTAGAAGTGAATGAAGTTAGGAGAGAGTGTGTCGTATTCAAGGAGCAGTAAGAAGGCCAGGCTGGATTTTTGAATCTGTGTAGGGGAGTAGAGTATAAGAAAACTGGAACGGTAGAAAGGGGCCAGGATGAGCCTGAAAGTTCTGGAGTTTGTTGGGGGAGGGGATGATCAGACCTCTCTTTTAGGACAATCACTTTGGCAGCTGAGCAAAGGAGAAATTGGAGTGTGGAGAGAGTTGAGGCAGGGAGACGAACCAGCAGGCTGGAGCAGTAGGTCAGGGAAGGTGATGAGGGCCACATGGCAGGAGAGAAGGGGCGGACAGGAAAGACGTCAGGAAGGGAGAAAGCATCAGATGTGATACCAGATGGCGTGGGTGAGCCGAGGGAGAGGGAGGAATTGTGGTTGATACGAGGTTGCCAGTCTGGGTTACTGGGAGGATGGTGGTATCCTTGGTAGTAATAGGGAAGCTGGGGAGGAGGGAGGTTATGGGGAAAAGATGATGAGTTTGAATTGCCTACAGGACGTGCAATTCGAGATGTCTTAGAGGTAGTTAGAGATGCATGTCTGTGGCTCAGGAAGGAGACTAGGGCTGGATATATAGTGCGTAGCAGTGATCATTGGACCCAGGGGAGCTGCTGTGAGATTGCCAAGTGAGATAGGCTAGAGGGAGAAGACAAGAGGGCCCAGCACAAAGCCTTGTGGGACACAGACAGTTAGCGTCTACGATGCCACATGAAGGAGGCTTGAGAAGGAATGAAGAGATCTGGAGGAGTGGGATAGTGAATATGGAGATAGCATTTATCAGTGTTGCCTCCACCAAAAGCCCTCTCTGATGCCTCCTTGTGGTGCAAGGGTGGCTCTTTCAAGTAGAACATAAGCTCTAGAAGCTCCTACCAAGCTGGAAGGGTTGGTTTTATGGAGTGAGGCTGGGCCTAGGACCAGTCTAATGAAATGTGTAGAGGTATATCATTGGGAGACTGGCTGCTGGGTGATGCAGTGGAGAGAGAGCTGGGCCTGGAGTCAGAAGAAGACCCAACTTCAAATTTGGTTTCAGACAGTTAGTGGCTGTGTGGCCCTGGGCAGATCACTTAACCTCTGCTTGCTTCAGTTTCATCACCTGTAAAGTGGGGATAATAAGAGCGCACTCATCTCGCAGGGTTATCATGAGATCAAATGAGATAATAATTGTAAAGTGTTTAGCACAGTTCCTGGCACATAGTAAGCCCTGCATAAATTTTAGCTGTCATTATTATTGTTATTGTTATTATTATTATTAGTCTCTAGTCACATCATATTATGAAAACACTCATTTACCAGAGCAGGCAGTGGCTGGGCTCTGTGCTGGTGGGAGGATTCTCTAATCCCGTAGACTCACAGACCCTTAGAGTGCTCAACCCACTGGTGAAGTACAGCATTTTGTCTCCTCTGAATGCCATTCTTCTTAATTAGTATCAATGTCATTGGTTCTCTTTTTGGACCAGGGGAATCAATCAATTCTGAGTTTTCTTGTCATGGAAAGAGACTCGGAAAAAGGAATGTGGAGCTGGCTGGGGAGTCAGGGAGACTTGGGGACCAGGCCTGCCTGTGGCCAGACGGTCCTTGTGACCTTGGGCGAGTTACTTAATCTCTAAGCTCTTAAAGACTAAAAATTGTAAGTCATGTGCTAGGCTGCCTTGATAGAGGAAGTTTACTCAGAGAAGACTTCATTATACCAGTGAAATTGTGAGACCAGGCCCTAAAAAAGCCTGGAGTTGGAGTCAAGAGGAAGCTGAGTGGGAGTGTTGCCTTCACACGTAGTAGCAGTGTGGCTAGCAGCACGTCTCTTACCATCTGTGAGCCTCAGTTTTTCCATCTGTAAATTGGGGAAAGCACTTCCCGTACAGGGTTGTTCTGAAGATCAACAATGAGATTGCCTTCAAGCTTCTTATGAATCACAGTCATGAGCATTGCAGTCACCATGGTTACCAGGGGATAAGTTTTCTGTGCAGTCACATTCAGGAGGGATCAGAGTTGAGTGTTTGATTTCTGTGGAGATTTGGGAAGAAGATGCTGAGGCTAAAATGCCTGCATCTTTCTTGCAGACATTTTCAGTGCAAAGTGAACACATGAGTTTGCACTCCTGGAGACGGCCTCTAATGAGAATGTCTCAGTCAAGAAAAGGAGCCAGTCCAGTGGTGATTGCATTTGCAGCCTTGAAGGCCTTAGGGAACATTTACCTCAATGGATCTCCCTGCTACCCTGACCCCTGAAACCTTGTGGGATTTGGTCATGGTAATATTTCAGCCTCAAGGATTCAAAGCACCTTGTGCAGACCTTTGTCTGCTTCAGAAATTGTGGTCTTAAAGAGTTGAGCTGTGCTCCTTTTGTTCTGTATGATATTGCAGAAGTTGCTACTTTCGAAGTTGAGCTAGAAGTAAAAAGTTCTCCATATGTTAGTCCTGAAAAAATGGATCTGACCCAGGAGATCACAGTGGCCTGGTTTGCATCAGCTGCGAACTCTTTTCCCAAGTCCATTTCACTTGTCTCTGGAGAATAGAACATAGGTCACCGCTAAAGGTGTACCAGCATTCATTGGGTGGAGCACAAGGAGAGAGGAACCATGTCGTAAACCTGAATGACTGCTCAGAATAGGGCATGGATCAAAGATCATGGACAGATGAAACCACAGGAGTACCTGAGGCTACGACCAGTGCCATCGTGTCCTTAGGATAACGCTGATGGCAGCACGTTGATTTCAGCAAAGGGTTGTGACTGAATAGTGTGACGACCAACCCTGATTGCCCAGGACTGGCCAGGACATGTTGCCCACCTCCGGCCCAAGCAGAGGGCAGAAGGAGATGTGCGCTTTTGGACATGATCACTGTGAGGATTTGTTTTGCTTGACTGTGCTATATGTTATAGCATATTACATGTTTTTCTCTTAGTATTTGTGTGTGAGGTGCTTAAGGGGGAAGAGAGGAGCTAGTTATAGTTACCAAAGAAAAGAAAGCAAAGGTGATCATTAGAACAGGTTTTCAAAATACATAAAAGAGAACTGAAAGAAGTTCACAAGGAAACAGACAAGCAGGACAGCTTTGAAAGTAACAAGTCGAATTTATTCCACACCTTAAAAGAGCAAGCTGAACATGAAGGGTGTCAGACTGAAAAAGAAATGGATTCCTGAGAATTGCATCTTGATTTAGAAAACCACAAATCAATATTATCTGTGTTGTATTTTTAAAATTTATCTTGTTAAAATTTCCCAATTACATTTTAATCTGGATTGGGCTGCACTGGGCAGTTTTGATGACTCTGCAATTTCATAGAATCTTTTTTTTTCCATTCTACTTTCTATGTAGAAATGTTTGTTGTTGTTGTTGTTTTGTTGGTGTTTGTTAAATTCAGAATAAAAAATAAAAGGAAAGGGTCATAGTGGCTAGCATCTTCCCTGGCTAGTGTGCGGCTCACATCTGAGCCTTCTCTCTGGGGCTTTCTGAAGTGGCATCTCTCAAAGCTCCTCTTTTCCTCCTGGACACAGCATGGGGTGCTGAACAGAGCCCTGCATTTGGAGTCACCAGACTGTGATTTCTTACCCACCTTTGCTGCTTACCACTTGTCTGACTTTGGCCAAGTAGTTTTCAAACCTCTGTGGACCTCAGTTTCCTCATCTGCACAATCAGGGAGTTAAGCTACAGGATTGCTAGGGTCTCTTTGAACTCTAAAATCCTCCAATATTGTAGAGGAATCAGGGAGTTGGCATTGTCAGGCCACACTTCAGAGGGTCTCTGCGCCAGGCTGAAAGTGCCACCTCCACACTCTTCTTTCTTGGGTACTTTTGTGAAGGTTGCCTGAGTCTGAGCAGCTGTAAAATCCACCAAGTCCGCAACAGTCCCTGGGTGCCCCAGTTCACTTTGCCACTAATGACCTCTTGCCTCTGTCCTAGTCAATCTCAGTTTTAAAACTGAGTTCTGTCTCTAGTGTTTCCCCTTTTCTCACACGAATCCTCTCTAAAGTTTGTTGATCTGTTGTCTTACAGTTTCATGGTGATGATATGGCATCTGCTAGCTCCAGCAGGGCAGGGGTGGGCCTGCCTTTCGAGAAGTCTCAGCTTACTTTGAAAGGTGAGTGAAACTTGTGTTTGTCTTGCCACCCCGTAGCAGGAAGGAGCATCTTTTGCCGAAGAGACATCTGGCATTGTCCCGATCAGAGACGGCCAGCCTCTTTGAACCCAGCTTTCTATTGGACAGTCCCAGTGTGTTGGTTAGAACTGTTGAAGAGGAGGCTGCATTTCCCCAAAGTGGGCCCCCCTCCTTTTACTGTTATCCTAGTCAGCACCTGGAGATCTTCCCCTAGCAGTCTCAGAAGAGGGTAGGGAGGCTGGTTTCTTGACCCGAGAGCAGGCCCAGCTCTTCCACAGGGCTCGACTTGTGGAACGATGGAGACAACATTTAGGGGTTGATCTCAGGCCTCTCGACAGGGCCATCTCTGGACAAAACTGTATTGTCGTTTGCCAGGTTTATCATCAGTGTGCTGGAGTTCCATTTCTGATGTAGCCTCTGAAGGAGGTGGGTCAGTAGGGCATTTGGAGGGATGCCTCCACCAATGACTTCATCCTTCTCTTCTTCCCCCAAGAGTGCTCAAAGCCAGGAGTAAAGGAGATCTAAATGCTGTGCCTGTCTGCTAGCATCCTGCGAGTGGCTGGTTTTTAATGAGAATGTAAGGTCCTTGAGAGCAGGGCTTTATCCATTTTTGTCTTTTTGTCCCCGGTGTCTAGCCCAGTGCCTGCTACATAGACATTTTTAGAACATTCAAGATCCCGTTGTTTTTATTGTTTGCTTCATTTAGAGCAGGAGGCTCTGACAAGGTGACCCCTTGTATGTATCAGAACACACGGCAAACATTTAATAAATGCTTGTTGATAGATTGGCTCCTGAAAGTCATCCCCTTGTTGACTCTTAGTAGCCTGCATTTCTTGCTCTTGGAAGGAGGTAATTTGACGATACTAGAAATGGAAATCAGCATTATTGGAGAGTAGGCATGCCCTTCTTGGGTCCTTTTGTTCTTATGTTGAGACTCGCTTTGGGTATTGATTTATTGCCTTTCCGGAGCACATTTAACTACTTCCTGTTCCCCAGCCCTTTGGCCTTTATGAAGTGGGCTGTGGTGGAAGGAGTGCTGAGCTCTCTCCTTTGCTGCAGGTTGGCTTTGTGACCTTGGGCAAGTCCCTCCCCACCTGAAGCCTGTTTCCCCATCGGTAACATGGACGCAATACTATATGTGACTTGTCTGCCGAGGTTGGTGTGAGGATGAAATGAGTTTATGATACTCAATCGCTTCATCAGCTGAAAAGTACTATCAATTGGGAGCTGCTATCGTTATTTGAAAGTGCTTTGTAGCCAAAAAGCACTACGTCCACCCTAAGCTGTAGTCACCATTGAGAAGCTTTGCTCCCCCATTGAGCCATCGCTTCTGGGTGTTGAGACTCCCCACCACCACTAGGTGGCGTCCGTATCCCTTATTTGTGCCCCTCTCTCCCTCTCCCAGCCCCAAGCACCTTGTCACTTTTGAAGTCAAGCCTTGGCTCTGTCTTGCTCTTGAGCTTTTCTTTTCTCTGCTTCGCTGGCCTCATGTGAGATTTTAAATTTCTGAAATAGGCAGGGGTTTTTGAAAACCATCTTGTCATCAAGAGGTATTTATTTATTTAGCACATACTCTGTAAACTTGGTCCTCTGGGTAAGGCTACCTTTCTGATGGTGGGATAGCAGCCTTTTGGTGTCTTGAGGCAACGGAATCTCACCTCTGCCCACCTAAGAGTTCTCAGTGAGAGGGACAGGATTGTAAAGTCTTTACACAGACGGGGCTTTCTTTGGCAACAGATATGCTAAGAGCAGAATGATGCAGAGAATGTTTCCTGGCCCCTGCACAAAGATGACACTCCAAAGTCCTGAAATGTTTTTAAAAAGATCCATAGAAAGGGACCACAGTGATAGAAAAGCTTCTAATCTAACTCTGAACTTGACAAGCGTGTTGTGTAGGAGTATATGTGCCATCACCGTGGGTCTGAGAGATAGCGTTGGGCACGCCCTCTGATTTGTGGGTACTTAGATGGAAGACATAGAAGACTGAGGGGGTCCTATAATCACTACTCAGTTATCCTTGTTTTTACGGCAGATAGTATTTGCTTTGATTGTTGATGGCTCCGGCTGAATACCCAGGATAGCTCAGATACTCGCTTGGCTTTGTGTTCCATGAGTCCTTAGTCTCTTACAGCTGAGTGAGCTTTAGAAAGTCTGGCCCAGAAGGGTGTGAAGGAGCCCTCGGACCTGGCTTTGATGACTCCCCTTGTCTCTCTCTTTCTGCACAGTGGTGTCAGCAAAGCCCAAGGTGCACAGTCGCCAGCCTCGCATTAACTCCTTTGTGGAGGTGGCAGTGGATGGGCTCCCCAGCGAGACGAAGAAGACTGGGAAACGGATTGGGAGTTCTGAGCTTCTCTGGAATGAAATCATCGTCTTGTAAGAGCACTTTTCTCCCTCTTGAAAAAGTCACGTGGGAAGAGGAGGCCCTCGTCGGGGAGCCTGGTGTGGCCAGCCTCTTACCATCCCTCTTCTTCATTCTGCACTTCGCCATCAGTGTGTCCGTATCACTGCAGTCAAAAAGTATTTGTTACCAGCTAGACAGTTTCAGGGTCATCTTTGTGAGGGACAAGGAGATCCACTTGTATCCGCTAGGCTTTTTCTCAGGCTTTTGTCACTAGTACCCGGTCTTTCCCGAGCTCTAGGAGTAGCTGATGTGCTTGGTGTGTGAGTGGGATAAATCAGAGATTTCTTTTTCAGGAATGTCACAGCACAGAGCCACTTAGATCTGAAGGTCTGGAGCTGTCATACCCTGAGAAATGAGTTGCTGGGCACTGCTTCTGTCAATCTCTCCAGCGTGCTGAAGAACAACGGGGGTAAAAGTAAGTATGGTGAGGGCATGCCTGAGGTGCTTTTGATGCAAAACATTTTGGGCAGTCACTAAGGCGTGTTCATACTGTCAGCCCTCAGCTTTGGTAAGCCAAATTTCCCGAGCGTCATAGACAGTTCAATTCTGTGGTTAGACTGTTAGCAGCATCAGGCAGTTCCAGGACTCTTTTTCCTCTGATGATCAGTCTAGGACTTTTGGAAGGGGAAGGAATATGATCGTCTGCCACGACAGAATTTAGGCCCTTCCTATTAGAGCCTTTGGAAGAGGGAGGTGATAATTTGCCTCTGCTGTGGGTTACTTTGGGCTACTTGAGCGCACTCTTTCCCTGCCAGTCTTAGTGGCAGAATGGATATGTGATATGTGGGGAAAAATAGCTCCAAACTTCCTGTTCTCAGTTGTTCCTTTTCTAGTCTTAGGATAGAACAGGGCAGCACTATGTGCAGTAGGGCTGTGCACATAGTAGGCACTCAGTAAGTTATTGCCAAGCAATGTCTTGCTTATGAAGTACCTTAATTAGCCAAGGTGCCTCCGCCTGCCTGGAAACACAAACCCAGAGGCTGTTTATCGCCATTCTTGGCCAGTGGACTGGCCCACAGTTCTGGTATTCTGGCCCCACGTCATAAAGGATTCCATTCAGAGCACAACCATATGTGGTGGTTGTAAGCCACAGCTAGGACAGTGTCAGTCTCTCCTGACGTTGGCCATTCAGGAGTTCTTTTTTAAACGTGGGACTTAGCTTGAAAGATATGGTGTGGTGTGGAGATTCCTAGGGAAAACAAAGAGAGTTTACTCGGTTACTCTTCCCTTCTGACTGGGCCACTGCACAAACTGCCAAGTCTCCTTCGTTCTGACCTTCCCTGACAGATGCAGGGATGAGGTTTGTCCTTGGTGAGCTCAGGGACTATGTGATGGCCATCTTAGGTCTATGGAAAAATCCCCAGGCTTGTTGTTGGGGCCCTCTGATCATCTGGGAAACCCCTTCCTGCCTTTTTAAAGCTGAGGATGAGGGAGGCAAGGAAGGCTTAGGAAGCTCTCTGGGGGAGAAATATTTGTTGGCTGGGCTTCTCACCGAATAATAGTGTGTATCCAGATAGTAAGTGCCTGGCTTACAGTAGGCACTTAATACATGGTTGGTTTGTTTTTTAGGCAGTTGGGGTTAAGGGACTAGCCCAGGGTCACCCAGCTGGTAGGTGTCAAGTGTTTGGTCTGAGGCCAGATTTGAACTCAGATCCTCCTGACTTCAGGGCCGGTGTTCTATCCACTTCGCCGCCTAGCTGCCTTAATAAATGGTTTTTGATTGATTGATTGATGATATTCCTCCCAAGATATGATCTGCAGTGTGAGGCCTCCTTTCTCTTTGTGTGGTTTTCTGGGCGAGCCTCTTGTCTCCCTGGTATGCGTGTAATGCTTGTTTGTTTGGAGAATTGGCTTTGCACAGGAACAAGTAAATCCACTGTGGGCAAGGTTGGTAGCCTGTAGTATGCCTACCTCAGGAAGAGCAGGCAGGTGGCTGGTTGTGACTGGCTCCTTCTCTGCTTCTCTTAACCCCTCTCTGCCACTTTCAAGAATTGGCTTCCCTTTTTGTTTTTGAAATTTTCATTGATGTTTTTTGTTTTTCATCACCTTTATTTCCCATTATATCATTGCTGTCTCTCCCTTCTATATACTTCTGGGCTTAAGGCCTGGGTTCAGATCTGGCCTCAGACAGTTACTGGCTGGGGTAACCCTGGGGAAGTCACTTCATCTTTCTCTGCCTGAGTTTTCTCACCAGTAAAATGGGGATTAAAATAGCACCTGCCTCGCCCCAGTAGTTGTGAGGATCAAATGAGTTATCTGTAAATCACTAAGCACAGTGCTTAATAGATGCTTCTTCCCTTCTCTTCCCCTCATCTCTTAGAATAGACAACAAAAGAGAACGAGCAGGAAAAGATTCAGCAAAACTAGAGAAATCATTATCTGAGCGTGGCAGTATATGTAATGTTCTGAACCCATAGTTTCCTACCTCTGCAGAGGAGGGAGAGAGGGAGGGACATTTCTTCTGTCTCTTTGGGGCCAGGCTTGATCATTATTATAAAATTTTCTTTTTTAAAAAAATAAATGTTTATTGCTAACTTTTGGTTTTTATCATCTACATTTCCCGCCATATCCCTTCTTTCACCTCCCCCCCAGAGAGAAGTCCTTTTTTAAGAAATAAGAAAAAAAAAAAGGAAATTCAGCAAAACTAACCAACATAAGGAAAAAGTCTGATGTTGTATGTAGTGTTCCATACCCATTGTCCCCCACCTCTGCAAAGAATTGGGGGAAAGAAAGGTATTGTCTTATGTCCAGAGTCAAGGTTGGTTCATGTAATCTTACAGCATTCTATTTCTGTTGTTTTGTTGTTACCCTTTCCCTTTACATTGTCTTAGTCGGTGTGTACTGTTTTCCTCATTCTGCTCACTTCACTTTCTATCAGTTCAGATAAATCTTCCCAGGCTTTTTTCTTTTTCATGTTCATCATTTTTTTTAATTAATAAATTTATTTATTTATTTATTTATTTTTAGTTTTCAGCAATCACTTCCCTAAGATTTTGAGTTCCAAATTTTCTCCCCATCTCTCCCTTCTCCCCAATCCAAGATGGTGTGTAAATTGATATAGGCTCAACATATACATTCATATTAAACCTATTTTCACATTAGTCATATTGTAAAGAAGAATTAGAAACAATGGGAGAAATCACGAGAAGAAGAAACAAAAACAAAGAGAGAAAGCAGATAATATACTTCGATCTGCATTCAGGCTCCATAGTTCTTTTTCTGGACATGAATAGCATTTTCCATCATGAGTCTTTTGGAATTGTCTTAGATCCTTGCATTGCTGAGAAGAGCTGAGTCTATCAAAGTTAATTATCACACAATATGGCTGTTACTGTGTACAGAGTTCTCTTCTCACTTCACTCAGCATCAGATCATGTAAGTCTTTCCAGGTTTTTCTGAATTCTGCCTGCTCATCATTTCTTACAGCACAATAGTATTCCATTACATTCATATACCACAACTTGTTCAGCCATTCAGCCATTCCCCAGCTCGATTTCTAATTCTTTGCCACCACAGAAAGAGCTGCTATAAATATTTTTGTACATGTGGGCCCTTTTCCCATTTGTATGATCTGTTTGGGATACAGACCTAAAAGTGGTATTACTGGGTTAAAGGGTATGTACAGTTTTATAGCCCTTTTGGCATAGTTCCAAATTGCTCTCCGTAATGGTTGAATCAGTTCACAACTCCACCAACAATGCATTAGTGTTCTAATTTTCCCACATCTTCTCCAGCATTTATAATTTTCCTGTTTTGTCATTTTAGCCAATCTGATAGATGCGATGTAGTACTTGAGTTGTTTTGAGTTGCATTTCTCTAATCAATAGTAATAGTAATCATTTCTCTAATCAATAGATTTAGAGCATTTTTTCATGTGACTATAGCTTTAATTTCTTCATCTGAAAACTGCCTGTTTATATCCTTTATAGTCATCATTTTTTAAGGTACTATAATATTCCATGCATGTACTACCATTGTGCAGCCATTTCCCCTATCAATGGGGCATCTCTTTTTCTTTCCCCCCAGTTTCTTGCTATTATAAAAAGTGTTCTTTTGAACATTTTGGTGTATATGGGATCTTTCTGGCTTTGAGCTCTTTGACTTGTATGCCTAGCATGGGAAATCTCTGGGTCCGAGGGAATGGGTATTTCAGTAATTTTCTTTGTGTAATTCAAAATTGCTTTCAAGAATTGTGCTCACTTCTTACTGAAAGCAGTTCATGGTCACCGCCGTGACTGGCATCTTCCCTCTTTACTTGTTAGCAAGCCAGAAGAACAGGAATTGCCAACCTAAAACCCCATTTTTGAAAGCTTGCTGGCTGATTCTTGCTATAGGGTGTCGTATGGGTGACTGGGTTTGGTAGTGGGGTGTACCATATTGGAATATGATGGAAACGGTACCTTAATTAGACAGGGTGTTACTGCTTGCTTAGAAAAACAAACCCTATGGATATTTACTGCCGTTTGCGGTCTGTGGTGTGGTCCATAGCTGTGGGTTTTTGACTCCATAAAGCCTTCTATTCAGAGCAGAGCTGTATGCAGCGATTGTAACTCAAATAGAGGCCTGTTTCTGTCTCCGCTGATGCTTGCCATCCTGGAAAACATGGGAGGGGTAGCATCTTAGAGAGAAGCATTTAGGGGCCTCCTGTCTTGAGAGAGGGTAAAGAACAGCTCTTGGCCTAAACAGGAGATTGCATTGATCAGTTCCACATTGGGTTGGACAGGAGATTTGGGAAAAAATTGTCACTAATAATAACCGGCTTTCTAGAATGCTTTAAAGTTGTCATCGCATTTTTACCTACGTGATCCTACATGATTCTTACAACAATCCTGTGAGGTGGGTACAGGGATTATTATCCCTATTTTACAGATGAGGAAACTGAGGTTCGGAGAGAGTAAGTGACTTTCACACAGCTAGTAATTTTGGGGGTTAGATTTGGAATCCAGTTCTGCCTTACTTCCAGTCCACAGATTTCCTTATCTGCCTCTAAAAATGGGAATCTCAGCTTTTTTGTCATGATCTCTGTTCCTCATGTGGGTTGTCTATGTTGCAGATGTAGCAGGTATTAGAAGTGGTGACACACAGTTGAGCTTATATTAGTGCTTTTGGGTCATATTGTGTTAAAAATTCTTTAAGTAAATGGACTGGTCTGTCCAAAGCTGATTTTCCCAGCTAGGATCCTGGTGACGGCAGTTTGCCATTCTCACCTGTAGCTTTTCAGCTCCACAAGGCACAGTTGGTTCTTTCATTAATTTCTCTATTCCTCGGCATTGATGGAAGATGACTGGAAAAGTCAGCTGGTTGTTTATGCCGATTTTTCCCTTATTGAGGTTCTCACTAGAAAAAGCTATTGGATTTTTCCTTGGCAGAGCAAATGGTGATGGCGAGTTTTCTTAAAGTCTTAGAAGGCCGGCA